TGGTGAGGGTGGTGAGGGTGAGGGTTGGTGCGCGCGAGATACGGCACCCCGTACCAGGAGAGGGATAGAGAAAAGTGCTACGGGGTAGCACTTGGCGCTGTGGAGGGGGGATTGGGGGGTGGTGAGGGTGAGGGTTGGTGCGCGCGAGATACGGCACCCCGTACCAGGAGAGGGATAGAGAAAAGTGCTACGGGGTAGCAGGACCGCCCCTTGGCGCTGGCTCTAACGCGGGAACCGACTGCCCGGAGCGGTAAAATTGAAGATTTATGCGAGACGCCGTTTACGTCGATTAACGTTACGCTATATACTGCCCACCGTGCTCGCCTGTAACTTATTTAAGAATCGCGATCGCGCGTTTTTCACCGGGGACCCCGATCCTATTAAACGCGATTGTGCTGAATATTCGAGAGAGCGAGAGTCTGAATCATCAATTCCGACGTTCCATATACTTACCAGATTCGTCATCGATCTATTCGCTAATGAGATTTATTTGATATCAATGAGAAATACTAACGTGCGTTTCGTATGATGCATTTAAAACGTTATTTATCGCGCATCAAACATAGCTTTGTAATTTTTCGATTTACTTAATATTTATTTCGATATAAATTTAAAATAAGAATGCTACATTATTTGTTGCTAAAGGTGCGATATGAAAAGAAAAGTACGTAAAGCATAATACAAAATTTAGCTAAAGTGAAATTTCAAAATCGAAAGATATTTAAATAAAACATCTTATCCCCGGGGCGACAATGGCCTCGCCAGCGTTCCTGAACGAGTCCATCCCGAGAAAGACGATAGCAACGGGCGAATCGGCGGTGCGACGAAGAAGATCCCGATCGTATAAGCTCGCGACGGAATCGCTGGTGGATGTACAGAGCGGACAAGGGTCGGAAGGGGTGAGTCGTACTCGCGAAGGAGAGAGACGACGCGCCGCTTTTCCGACCTGAGCACGACGAGGACACGTTGACGGACGATACGAGCGCCACCGAACTCATTCGAGACAGCGCCGGACAGCGATCAGGAGAGGAAGACGGAGCTTGCGGAGGCCGCGGTAAGGGTGAAAGAGAGAAAAGCTTGCACGGCCGGAGGGATAGCGCGACGCAGACGGAAGCAGATGAGACAGCAGGGGCTAGACAAGGGAGAGAGAGGGAGAGAGAAGAGCTCCTCCCGCTGCAGGCTGACCATTGCGCTCTTACCCTTTATGAAGGTGTACATGAAGAAGGAGAGACAGACGCGACCGGAGACAGGTGCGAGAGAGCGACCACGTTTTATCACACCGACTACTCCTCATATACGTGTGAGTCATGCGGATACTCCAACGTGTAATATCGGTATTTCCGAGGCGAAATGGTGTGCGCTCGATATATATCAGCCAGATACCTTGAACGCTCACCTTCGACCCGAAGATTCGAATAGACAAAAATTCGTGAAAAAAAGCTGCAATTTTAAAGTTTCTCTCTTTCTCTCTCTCTCTCTTCCTCTTCCACTGTTTCGTCGAACGAAAAATTGAGCTCGGAGATTGAATGTTTTTCAGAGCGCAAAAAAACGTAACTTTTACCGCGCGTTTATCAAGGCACACTCGACATCACATCGATCCAAGTCCTTCTTTTTTTTACAGTCACGACACGCATCCGGATCATTACAAAGTTTTCGCGTAATTAAGCGTGAATAAACAAGCGAACGGACCTATAATTTAGTCGGTCACTCGCCGGCAGGACGAAAGCGGTGCGACGAGGACGGCGAGCGTGCTCGGTCATGCGCGATCACCGGCAAAAGAGAGGCTCCGCTACCCCTTTCGATACGCGAAACGAGGACACGCGCAACCTCTCGCCGCGCGCGCGATGGGGTGTCCGGATCTGTAGTGGTGAAGCGCCGTTGGGTTGTGTTGGTGCAACCCGAAGAAAAATCGCCACGAGTCTGTAGACTCCTGTACGTGCGTACTAAGGGGTTGAGAACGTCTGTAGTAGTGAAAGGGTTGCTGGACAGTGGCGAGCTCTTGCTTAGGCGGCTGCCGGCGGAACTAACGAGAAAAGGGGTTGAAATGTACCACCTTTGCTCTCTAATAATGCATCATGCTCCGCTTCTCCCCTTTATGCATCTAAGATATATCAGCGCGATCAGCTATCGTTTGAAGATGTGTGATATCATTCTTATTTTTTTTTTTCGAAGAACTTTATATAATGTCTTTTGATATGAGATACGAATTGTAGAAAAAAGTTAATTATGATATTACGGTAATTGTAGGCATAACGATCCTACGTTATATAAAGCATAATTTATTATAAAACATAATTAGTTTAATACAAAATAATTTAAATAATGAAAAATATGGAATAATATTTCTAATTAAAAGCCGAAAGCTTTTTCTTGTATCTTCGAATTATAGAAAATAATCCATATGAAGTTTATTTAAATCTCTCCTCGCATGTTATGATGCATATTAAATATCAAAATTAATGTTAAAAATGAATAGCTTGGAAAATAATGCGGCAAATGTAATAATCTTGACACAACGTTTCAGTTTTATTCAACTTCATTAATATTATATATTATAGAGAATTATGTGTTATTTAAGTTCGAAAATTATTAATTGGAAATGACAAATTTTTCTCAATGATTTGATATTCACAAAGTCTTTCAGTAGCACAGAGGAGTTTTCATCGCGATAAGTGACGGGAACAAAAGGGCAAAACTACGGAACGGTGTACTCGAT